AACTGGTTAAGTTGGTTAAATCAAGTGTTTCTCAAAGTTATATGATCAGGGAAGCTTTTCTTCCTTTACTTAACTGTTAATATCCCAATAAAATAATAATTCATACACTACAGTTTGGGAAAAACTGCTGTAGGCAAGGCAGAGGAATGACAGGGTTTTAAGCAGTGGAGTAAATTGTGTTTTGGAATAATTATTTTGGAGAGGATCAGATCTTTCTTCCCTAATTTTTCTCATTTTAGGAAATTACACCATATTCCATCTATGTGCTCAAGTCAGAAAAACAGAAGCTATATCTGTCATGGTGATAACCTTTTTAAAACATTATAAAATGCAAGCGTGGTTGTAAAAATCATTCAAACAGTAGAGAGGATAGTATGAAAAGCAAAAATCTCCTCCCTCCTTTCTCTCACCCCTATCCCAGCAGCCAGTATACTTTTCCAGAGGTAATAACCAGGGCAATCAGTTTTTGTTCTATTTTTCAGTTCTTCTTATGGCATCTCTAAATCATATGCATCTGAGCCTACTGTTTTGGATTATAAGCATTTAGCAGTATCTATGAAATGAATTCATTCCCACTCTTCTTTCTGCCTCGCCCACCTCCCATATCCAATCTATCACCAAGATGTGTCAATCCAATTCTCAAAACACACCTCAAGTCTGAGCACTTCTCTCCCTCCTCCCTGACAGTACTCTCACCTCTGCTTGTCCTCCCTGGTCTTACTACCTCCAATCCTTTATCCCTCTAGTTCACTCTCTTTACTGTCTACATAAAGAGTTCCTCAAAATAGAAATTAGAACAGTCTCTAGCTTAAAAGCCTTCAATGGCAACCCACTCAAGATCTTTATCAACACGGTGAAGCTGGACATGATCAGCCACCTGCTCCCCTCTCCAACTGGTGTCCTGCCTCTCAGCAGTGCCCTCACCTAACAGCAGTCACAGGGCCTGCCTCCTCTCTGTCCCTTGAATGCTGCAAGCTTTTTCTCTTAGGACCTTCCCATTTGCAATTTCCTGTGCCCAGATTGCTTTTTCTCTTTGTTGATTTTTTGTTTTTTTTTAGTAACGTTAACCCCTATGTTTTTTTCCAATAGCAACTGAAATCTTTCTTTGTCAAAGAGCAAGCCTTCTCAGAACACCAAAATGGAGTCAGCGCCCCTGATGTTTTTCTTAAAGCATTCTGTTCTTCTCCATGCTACTTCCCATAATGTATTCCTACATGCTTATTCTGTAAACGACTGCAGGTTCCAAAAAAATAGGGAACACATCTGCTTTGTTCAACACCAAATGTGGAAAAGCCGGCACAGTGTCTGGTCACAGAACGGGCTTAATAATTATTTATTATATGAATGAAGCTAGCCAGAGGGAATTTCTCTTACAGAGTTATCTCCTGCCTTTTCCTTACATAAAACTTCAGCTGCATCCAGATACTCCTTTTCTGCACACCTCCCACCCCAAAGTGCCACTGAGGTCCCTGGGCACCCAAAAGTCTTATTTGTTCATCTCTATTAGGACCAGAACTTTAAGGGCTATCTCTAAGGGCCTTTCCTTTTATGCTTCCCTCAGCATTTCAGCTTATTTTATTCTCTTCTTGGGAATTCATTGCACTTATTTTCTGTACCACTCATTTGGTGCCAAATCTTCTGTTGCCTTGTAACTACTTATTTGTTATTTTAAATTAATACCTTACATTGACATATTTGTCTTGCTAATGATGTCATAAGTTTACTGAATACAGGACCTGTTACTTTGTATCCTAAAGCACACAGCATGCCCCTGCACAGAGTAATTGCACAAAGAACGAAATCTCCATTCATCCCTTCCAGTGCCCCCATTAGAAGACCTTAATATAGGAGTTTGATCAATTCCCTTTCACACTATTTTATTCCTCAGTGGTTCTGAGTGTATTGCCATCATGCTAACACAGACAGCTGGAGTAAAGATAAGTTTTGAGGTCACAGAGTAGTTAAGGGAGGAGTCTGGGGACAGAGGACTTGCCTGTTTTCTCAGTTCCTCTTTAAGAGGCACCAGAGTTACAAAAGGTCACTAGGTGTGCTTGGCAAGAGACCAGGTGTATTTTAAATTGATTTGGCATTTCCTAGGATATTTTAAAGGATGACTTGACCAAACTTTTGAACTTACAGATTTTTTAAATTAAATGAAACAAAAAGGATTAGCCCCTCAAAAATTTTCAGTCATTGGCTCAGTTTCTCACGGTTCGATTTTTGGATGAATTAGACTCAAACATTAATTTAACTCAGTAACTACCTTTGGTATCCAAGAAGTTACTCTGCACCTTTAGTTGAAAATTCCAATTTTGTCCAAATAATATTTCAGGAGTATTTAACATACTGAATACTTGGCTACTTTTTGTTTTATTTTCCACCGAACTATAAGGGTCAGAAAAGTTCTACAATCTTTTTAATGTACTTAACCAACCTTCCTCAAGCTACTTCTGAAAAATGGAGGGCAAAGTTTAACCCTTCAACAACAGCATAATTTTTAGAAAAGAACTATTCAAAATCAGTAGACTTTTTTTACAATTATGATCTATTTTTACTTAGAGATAATACAACCTTGAAAATAAAGAAAGTAGAAAGTGTCATCTGTTGTTTTTATTTTGTCAATGAGGAAACTGAAATATAGGAAGACTGAATGACATGTCCAAGGGCACCTAAGTGAGCAGCAGATAAATTTCAGGTTTATACTGGAGAACTTACCGTAAACGTGGGATTGCTGTTAAGACAACACTGTTATTTGGTTAGTTTTAGACCAAGTTTGTCAGCCTGGGGTCAGGATATAATTGGTAGGACACACTTCAGAATGAACATTCACAGCCTCTTGTTTGAAAATTATTAAGCCAGCAGACAGTGATAGCAGAACCTTACCAAATGCAGGGCCCTTCCAAGCGCAAGGCCCTGTGCAGCTGCAGTTTTGCATTTCCATGAAGCTGGCCCTGCCTGGAGTCTCTAGACATCTAGAATATAGGAGGTTGGGCATCAAGGAGGCCATGAACTCCTGAAATGGTCAGGAGATGGAAAATTTTGTGTTAATATGTATGTATTTGTCTTTCATATTCCATAGCTTTCATCAGATTCTCAAATTGGTCTGTTACCCTCTTCAAAGGTAATACATGTTCCAACAGAACCCACAATGTCAGAATATATTGGTACGGACAAGCATGCTGGTGGTCACTATGCATGATCCTTCACAAAGCTGTATTTGTGAATAAGTAAGTTTTCATGAGTGCATGGAAATTAATGCAAAATCAAGGAATTCTTAACGCTGAGGAGATGTTGCCAGAAACAAATGCACTCAAGAATGCATCTTCAGGAGATAGGAAAGCAGATGGTGAGATGGTCAAGATGATCATATGCTTTATAAACCCCAAAGTGATACCCTAATATAAGCCATTTTATTTATTTTCAACCTCTCCATCTTCCTCTGTAATTGGATGTCACATTTTAGCCTCCTTTAAGGAAAGGATATTTTCATTTACTTTAATTTCTCTAATAGCAGTACGATTTACCAACTCATAGTGATTTACATCTATTTTATAGATAATTATAACCCAATGTTAGAAACAGGAGTAAGTGAGGAATTTGTTAATACAGCAGGTGCAAAAGCTGCCCTCAGAATTAGGAAAAGAGTACTGTAAAGACGTGGATCCTGAGAAATACTACTGATGGAATATTGACACACGAGTCAGCCTGGTAAAGACCTCATGCCCATCTCCTAGAAGTCTCACACACAAATATCCCTTCTGCGGAAATGCCTGCTCTTGCAGTTTACGTGGCTGCCTTAAGTTTTTATTTAGTCCCTTGCCCAGCTTTATAAATTTTGGACTAAATACACCTGTCAGTCAAATCTCCAGTTCATATAAATGGGAATATAGAGAGATGAGTAATTGAAACCAAGGGGTAATTCTCAAATTTCCATTTGCACAGTGTCAAACTTCTCTCGACCTAGCAAACAGAAAAGCACCATCCACCTGAGTTTCCTGGTCATTTTTCTGACCGTACTCTGTCCTTGCTCGTCACATAATGGGGGCACTCTACATGATTCAACGAGTGGCCAAACTCTTGCAGATCCAGCGATAACCTTGGTTGCTCACACCACATAACTCATCCGTGGAAGAAAAGGTGCCCACCGCTGGCAGGTGTGACGCCTTCCTCTGGTTTCTAGGATAAGGTTGGGCATGAATCGTTTTAATAGACTGAGACTGCCCCGCAGGTAATTCTACTTGCTGGGAGTGTTAAGCAGCCTTCTCGAAAGCCATCTACTCCAGTTGGAGTCTTCCGGCACCTGCTCCCCTGTACACCTGCAGGATGCCCAGACCGCAGGAAGATGTCTAAAACTTCCTACGGGGGCAAATCCCGCCCTGACCTTACCAGCCGCCCCAGCACACGTCAGCCGCGACCCCGGCAAGGGTCAACTGGGAGGGTAGGGACGCGCGCAGCTTGGGGTGGGGCTGGGGGCTGGCGAGGACCTGCTCCGGGGACCTGGGCTTGGCGCCCTGGCGGTCCTGGGCGCCGGGAGGGGACCTAGGACCGCTGCCGTTTCACACGTGGCCCCGGCATTTGCGCGCTCTCTCCAGGAATAGCCCCAAGGGCCCAGGAGGCCTGGGCGGGACCCGGCCTCGCTCCTCTCTCCCTCCGTCCCCAGTCCCCACGGCGCGGCCCCCCACATTAACCTTCCCGGATCCTTCCCGGCTCGCTGCCCTTTGCAACCCCCGCGTGCCCCACCTTGGCCGGCTCCGCCGACGCCAAACGCGCCTAAACGGCCGGTGACGACGGGGGTGCAGCCGGGGGCAGCTTCGGGAGCAGAGCCTCCGCAAATGCTTCTCCCCTCCCACTCGCCTCACACCCACCCTCCTCGAGGTCCTGCTGGGAACCGCTCCGCCCTGCGAACCCAGCCAAGCCCTCCCTCCTGGGCCACCCCCAGTCCGGTCTGCCTTCGGAGCGCGAGGGCTCTGCGAGCGCCAGGGCTGGGGACCCTGCAATACCTGTTCCTCCAGCACGAGGATGGGGTTCAACTAGTGGTCCTCGAAATCCTGCTCCTTCCCCGAGGCTACGGGAAGCGCTCCCGCCACAAGGAAACAGCTCCGGTCTTTCTGCTCCCAAACGTGACACTCTATATATCCGGCTCGGAGACTGGGTGTGGGGCGGGAGGAAACCACCCTCCCTCCGACCTTACCCGTCGCCACCGCTGTCTTGGCGTTGGGCGCGGAACCCGCGGCAGCCTCAGCCCGGGGCGGGAGGTGGGCGAGGGGCCAGCGAGGGCCCTACAGGCCGCGGGGAGACAGCATCGTGGGCAGGGCGGCCGCGCGCGCAGGCCCGCCCCGCGCTTCCATTCATTCAGCACCAGCGGATCCACTGGCTATGATTCCCGCATTTGTGTGGTTGCAGGGAGGGCGGGGGGTGGTTCTGGTTTGAGTGGGTTGTTTGTTTGTTTGGGGCTTTTGTTTTGTTTTGGGTTTGGGGGTTGGTTTTTTCCTCAATTTTTTAAGCAGTGGGCAAGGGGACAAGGAAGCTAGAAAGGCGCCCCTCTCTGGTGTGGGGAGGGAGAACTCCCACACCTTGAAAGGTGGCAGGGTAGGGGCTGGAGGGAGATAGTGAGGAGAGAGAGAGATTCAAAGGTTCTAGTCTGAACTGAACGCTTGGGGGACACACCTTTCCCCACCCACCCTAGCGGAAAAGGCAGCCAAAAATCCCAGTTTACTCAGCTTGACTACACTGCACATCCCGTGGGAGGGATGCTCTTGTATCTGCTAAAGACACTGCGGAGGCGCCCTGCAGTGACCCACGAACGCAGTGGCTTTTTAAAACTCAAGGGCGTGAGGGTGCAGGGTGATGCGAGGACTTCAGGCGAGGTTTCCTCACACTCGGGGTTTGAAGGGCAGAAATCCGGCTCTGCCTGCCTATGGTGGGGTGGGGGTGGGTAGGAGACTAGAAAGGATCAGAGATGGGGGCTGCAGGAACAGCAGCGAGCCAGCTGTGCTCAGCAGCACTTTTCCGGATTTAAAAGAAAAATAAGGATGTTTCATTTTTTATAGCCTGGTAGCTTTTTGGGGGATTTGATCATTGTTAAATTTTAAACGGAAAAACTGCAGCTGCCAGGCAAGCCTTGTAGAGGGATGGACAGGCACGTGAGTGGAGCCCTTGGCCTCAACCAGGAAGTGCTGAAAACCGGCCAACGCCCATCCGAATTCCCTGGACAATGTAGGAGGTAAATTTCCAAATAAATATGGTGTGTTAAGGAAAATAAAAAAGAAATATTGTCCTATAAGCTGTTCTGATTCTCCTCGTTATAACAATTGACATGCAATTAAAGAAATAAAATTTGACTTACGAAAGTTAGAATTAAGGAGCGATTTCATGAAATTAATAACACCCATCTTGAATTCTCTACTACTGGGCTGTGTAATTAAATGTGTTAACCAAAGTGTAACCTAAAGACACTGACTAATTTCCTCTGGTGACTGCCTGAATGCAAAAGACAGAAAAAAAGTTACTACCAAATTTATAGTATTTTGCGTTACCCCTCCCTCCTCAAGAATAAATTTGAATGTATCTTCAAAATGTGTGTGACAGCACTTGAAATGATAATGTCAAAAGCTGGTGAAAACATATAGAAATCACTTATCAGATAGCAGACGGAAGGTAAATTGTAACCATGCTTTTGTTGGAAAGCAGTTCAGCAACACATTCCCAAGGTGTTCAGTACCGAAATTGTTTCTTGTTCTGGACCCAGATTCCCATATCTTAGAATGTATTCAAAGGAGATAATCCATAAAAGAGAAATGTCGCATGTACATAGTTGCATATTTATCACTGAGTTGTTTATAAAGAAGGAAATTAAAAACCTTTCAGTGGAATGTTCATAGATAAAATATAACTTTAATTATAGATTATAGCACCACAATTGATCGTCACCATTTAAAATGCTATTCATATATGTAGAATGTATTAGTTTGCTAAGTCTGTCATAAGGATGCACATAAACTGGGTGGATTAAACTATAGAAATATATTATTTCACAATTCTGGAGGCTAGAAGTCGAAGATCAAGATGTCTGCAGGGTTGGTGCCTTATGAGGGCTTTGAGAGAGAATCTTCCACGATTCTTACCTATTTCCAGTGGTTTCTTGTTGGTTAGTAGAAATATGACCCCTGTCTCTACTATAATCTTCATGTGGCATTCTCCCTCTGTTCATGTCTGTGTCAAAATTTCTCCTTTTTATAAAGATACCAGTCATATATGATTTAGAGCTCACCTTAATGGCCTCATTTTAACTTTACTAATTAAATTTGCAACCACTCTATTTCCCAATAAGCTCACATTCTAGAGTACTGGGGCTTAGGACTTCAATATGCAAAACTGGCGGGGACGGAGAACACAGTTCCACCCATAACAGATAATAACAAAAAGAGGCAATGTAGTGGGTTGAATAGGGGCCCCAAAAGATACGTCCTAAGGAAAATCCCCAGAACCTGTGAATGTGACTTTATTTGAAAAAAAGACTATAAATGTAACTAAGTTAAATATGTTGAGATGAGATCATCCTGGGTTATCCAGGTGAGCCCTAAACTCAACGGCAAATATACTCATATGATAAAAACAGAGGGAGATTTGAGATACACACTGGAGAAGGTGATGTGAATATAAGGTGGAGAGAAACTGGACCCACGTGGAAGCCAGAGAAGCCAAGAAATGCCAACAACCACCAACAGCTGGAAGGGGCAAAGAAGGATTCTCCCCTGGAACCCTTACAGGGAGCATGGCCTCATCTTAATTTCAGTTTGCTAACTTCCAAAATTATGAGAGAATACATTTCTGGTGTTCAAGCCACCCAATTGATGTCAACTTTGAAAGGAGTTAGCCAGCTTGCTTTAGGCAGACAGTAAGGGAAGGGTCCCCAGAGAACCTCCAACCCATGTTTTGTGCAGATAAGGGAACTTGCACAGAGGACTTACCTAAACATGCCTTCAGAGGACTAAGGGCCCACATGCGCACTGGAAGAATGGGGTGGAGCCGCCAGGAGTTTGTGCCTTATATCAATAGGGAACTTAGCCTTATCAGCTTGTATGTAAAACCCTTGTATTCAACTGCGAAGGGGGCAACCAGGAACCCACTTTCAGGACACCTTCTTAGCTTAGAGCTTTCCTTTTACTTAATAAATTCTACACCACTCACTCTTTGAGTGTCTGCATGCCTAATTTTACCTGGTTGTGAGACCAGAACCCAGATCTAGCTGAGCTAAGGACAAGAAAATCCTGTCAGTTTGGGGGCTCGCCTGGGATACCTGGAGGAAGAGTAAATGAAGACCCTCCCAAACCCTTCTCTTTCTCTTCTGTGCCTTCTTGTCCTCAGACTTTTTCTGAAGGCAGATGCAGCACCGAACCTCTGGTGAGCCAATTAAGAATGAATGGCGCAGCTACAGAGGACAGGATGCTGGAGAGGAACCCAACACCACCCCTCCATCACTCTTGGGGCTGGGAACGTCGGCCTCGTTCCAATCCAATCTTTTCTATGGCATTTTCCTTCTTTTTGGTGGGGGGTTGTCATGGCGCCTATCTCTTCTTTTGTAATGTTAAGGGTATTATTACACACTGCACAGATATCACTAGGTAGAGTGAGCCTTTGGCCCAGTCATCAGATACGCAATTCAAAACAATGCGATTTCTGGTTGTTCTTAGAGGCATTCCACACCCCACCTCAGTGATTACAGGTGTGTGTGGGGGACTCATGGGCAAGCAATGACTCCCTGACCCCCCCACTCCCCCTGCTGGGGCACATGGCCAAGTCTGCCACATGTGCATGCTATGTCCAATGGCCAGGCAAGGCAAGAATGAGCCCTGGCTGCTACTTGGGTCCCAAGGCAGTCTCAGGGGTCAGGGTCCCCACGCAGCTGGCCAGAGAGTTGGCCAGCATTTCCCATTCACTGTCCCCTCCCGCCACATGTCCATGAAATCTTTCCTCCCCTGGTTGAGTCAAGAAGAGGGTTCAATGATTAAGAGTTTTTCACCCTGTTAGAGGAACCTATTTGCATAAAGCAAGATGTTTCTTTTTTTTTTCCTTTCCCCCCGCCTTAAAGCATCTTCCCCACCCTACACTTAAGCTATTATATTTTCCCCCTTTTATCCACCATGTCAGGAGTTAGGTTTCTTTTCCTTTTGGACAACATCTTATTAGGCCCAGACCTCTACACACAAGACAGCCTTTTATCTACCTTGTTTGAGGGGGACCCAGCTCCACAGCTTTTCCTTAGCATGATGAATTCCTGCCAATTAGGCCCCCTTTCATTTCATGGATGGAGGTCATGCTAGTATCCATGGCATAAATGTGTGGCAGGGAACTCAAAGCTTACCAAAAACAGGGAGGAGGCAGCATGTGGGTAAATGCAGATAATTATCACCACCTAGGCCTCCCTGTTAACATGGGGGAAAAGCCACACTGGCACCCATGGGCGGCACCTTGTTGAGGTTGCTGGGACTTGGAGATATGAGGATGGAAGAAGGAAGGGAGGCCTCTTCTCTCTCTCCCTCACATACCCTGGATATTTCCTAGAAAGAAAAAAGAACAAGAGACGCCTTGTTCCCCCTCTTTCTAGATGGGTAACCAATAGTTTTCAATCTATCAGGAGTCTTGAATACCTCCTGAATCACTGGGACTCCTTTGAAAAAAAAAAAAAAAGATAACTCTTTCTTTTTCCTTTTTCCTCCTCTGTCCTCTCTTCGCAGATGGGTAATTGTGTCCCTGTAACACAGGACGCTCCCCTCAGATGCATCCCCCAAACTGGGAAAAATAAATTTCCTCAAACCTTAAACTGCTTGGCTTAAAATGGATCTTGGAGGAGGGGAACCCAAAAGGCTGATATGCTGGCAAAAAAGTAAAAGTTCTTACCAGTCAGACTTTTGGCCTCTCTCTCCCTGTACAAACTGGTAAGATAAATGGTAAATGTCACTATTTACATCCTCTGTAACATTTTGATTATTTGAAGAAAGGATTTATGAGGCCAGTCTTGGGCTGCACCCAATCTGGTGAGCTTTGCGTGTGTCTTTCTGTATGGTTTTGTCATAAGGAGGAATGCCTTAGGATAGAAAGCAGGCCTAGGACCCCAAAAAGCCTGCTGTTCAAGCCAGCCCAGCAAACTGGTCAGTAACGAGCTTTGCTGCAGGTCTCCATCTTGTTTCACATCCTTGGGAGCTTGACCTTGTAACCACATGGGAGTACTTTCTTTTGGCCTTTGTCATTTTACAATGGCAGCCCAGGTTCAATCCTGGCTTAGGGGATGGATATTTTCTGGTTAATATCTGTGTGACTTTTACCATTTGCTGATTCTTTTCCTGTCCATGAACAACTTCTGGCTTCCTTTGTTGAATCATTCTTTCTCTAGCTACCTTTAAAGATTCTAGATTTAGTAG